GATAAACAGTTCACTAACCGCGTATCCATGCTAATGCCCTAGTGATATAACTTTTATAATCACCCACACCAATACCATCACATGATATTCTACGGAGGCATTCAGCATGCCTACTATGTAATATTATTGCCCAATTAATATTACCTATGTAGGGAATACTTTGATGATTTTGATCTTCTAAAGATTTGTATCATCCGGACATTTCACATGTAATACATATATATAAATGAAGCAATAAACCACATGTGAAATAAGAACACTTTCTTCTATTGATAAGATAAAATGTATATACAAACTAGATACATTCACATATATATATACAAAACATAATGCCTCGGAACCGATGACACGATTGGTTCCTAGGGCATACACTAACAAAAACTCCATGTCTTGTATTACTGATAATAAAAGTTATGTTTGTAATACAAACATTAATAAAAATCTTTTTATTTTGCATCAACGTCTAGGTCATAGTGCATCTATTCCTCAACCCAATTGTCATGTTCGTCCTATTGCAAAATAGTCCCCCACAACATTTCCCAAACACACCTTCCACGACACGCATTTTTTCCTTAGTTCATACGGACATATGGGGTCCATATCACATAGCCAATCATGATGGCTCTAGATTTTTTCTAACCATCATTGATGATTACTCTCAAGGAACTTGGGTCTACCTCATGCAATCTAAAACACAAACACTCGCTCACATCAAACATTTGTTGTCAATGGTCAAAACCCAATTTGATATTTCAGTTTAACGAATTCGAACGGATAATGCTAAGGATTTTTTTAACACTCAATGTTCAACCATGTTTTCTTCTCTTGGTATTATCCATGACAGCTCTTTTGTCTATACACCTCAGCATAATGGCATAGTTGAACAGAAACATTGACATCTCCAAGAGGTCGCCCGTGCCCTAAAACACCAAGCTAGCATCCATATCTCCCATTGGGGTGAATGTGTGGTCACGGCCACCTACCTGATCAATCGAATGCCGACTCGGGTTCTCCATGGTAAGACACCCTATGAGCTTTTTTTTTTTTTGTAAACAGCCTACAGTTAATCATCTTCGAGTACTTAGGTGTTTATGTTATTCTACAAATTTGGGGGGGAGGGGTTAATGGGTTACCCAATGCATCAGAAAGGCTATCGACTATATGATCTAACCTTAGAAAAATTCCTGGTTTCTAGAGTTGTGGTTTTTAATGAAGACTCTTTTCCATTTTTAGACAGGTTCACTTCTGATAAATCTCCACAGTCTTCACCTTTTTTGGAAGATGCTCTATCAGGACCTCACTATACCATGCATCCCATCCATGATATAGGACCCTTCATGATCGCCTCAGAACTCATAATTCTTCTCTAGAGAAATAGCGTACTAGTCCACCTCTACCTTTGGATAATACTCTTATAGTCCTTGTCCCCCCTCAAAGACAATCCCAAAGGGCCACCCGCCCACCTATCTGGATAGAAGATTATGTCTATCCTACCATTCAAACTACCATAGGTACACCTTACCCTACTTCCAACTATGTTACTTATGATAGACTATCCCTGCCCACAAGATTTGTGTCAACCAAATTTCTGTGTAGCAAAAGTCTTCCTGCTATTTTGATGTTGTCCCCATGCACATTGGCGCCAGGCCATGGCCGATGAACTCAGTGCTCTTTCTCAGAATCATACCTGGGATCTTGTTCCATGTCCTTTTAACATGAAGCCCATTGGCTGTAAATGGCTTTACAAGATCAAACACCATGCCAATGGTTCAATAGAACGATACAAAGCCCATCTCATTGCAAAAGGCTTCACTCAACGAGAAATGTTTGATTACCATGACATCTTTTCCCTGGTGGACAAGCATGTTATTGTCCGGGTTTTCTTATCTGTTGCTGCCATACGTGACTGGACTCTTCATCAGATGGACGTCTATAATGCCTTCCCTCATGGGGATCTTCATGAAGAAATCTACATGGATCTTCCTCCCGGACTATGTAGACAGGGGGAGAATCTGGTATGTCATCTATGTAAGTCCTTGTATGGTTTGAAACAAGCATCCCACCAATGGAATGCAAAATTCACATAGGCTCTAATGAGCATGGGCTTCACTTAGTCCAAGCATGACTACTCTCTTTTCACATGGCACAAAGGTACTACCTTCATTGCTCTTATTATTTATGTCGATGATATCCTAATCACCGGGAACAATGAGGATAACATTTGTACCCCTAAAGAGCATCTCAATAGACATTTTTGTATAAAAGATCTAGGGGAGCCAAAATACTTCTTGGGCATTGAGATTGCATGATCACCAGCAGGTATTTCTTTGAGTCAAAGAAAGTATGTTTTAGAGCTTGTGTCTGACTCTAGTTTATCAACATGCAAGCCCAGCACCATTCCTGTGGAACAGGACACCAAACTCACATCCCAACAATATGATCATGAGACAACCTCTTCAAAAAATGATCCTCTGTTAAACGATCCATCTCATTATCAGAGTGGGAAGACTTATTTATCTCACCATGACCAGACCTGATATAAGTTACGCCGTTCACATATTGAGTCAGCTCATGCATCAGCCAAAACAGTCTCATATGGATGCAGCGATTAAGGTACTTAAGTATTTAAAGGTGGAGTAGGACTCCTTTTACCACGAGGTGGGAATTTGGACATCACAACATATTGTGATTCATATTGGAGAACATGTCCTATGATTAGAAAGTCTTTTACAAGATTTTGCATCAAATTTGGAGGGTCTCTCATATCATGGAAACAAAAAGGCAGTCAACAATATCGTTTCCCTCAGCTAAAGCAGAATATAGAGCCATGGCAAAAACAATTTGTAAAATTGCCTAGATCTTTGGATTATTGAAAGATTTAGGAGTGCAAACAAGGAGACCAGTCATTTTATACTGCGATAATAAAGCTACCAATGATATCGCAACAAATTTAGTTTTCCATGAAAGAACCAAGCATATAGAGATTGACTGTCATTTTGTCAAGGAAAAGATTCAAGAAAGGATTATCACGACCATGCACATACAAACCTCGGAACAACCTTCAGATATTTTCACAAAACCTTTATGCAGTCGTCAGCATTCTTATTTACCACACAAGTTTGGGGTTTTCGACATCTACAAATCACCAGCTTGAGGGGCAGTGATGAAATATGGAATGCTGAAGATATTCATGTTGGAATCAAGCAATTATTGATTTGCATTTATTTGATTGATTATTGTAATATTTTAAATTAAGTCTTTATTATATTTCCTTTACTGTATTATTTCATTGCCTTTGTTGTATTCAAAGCCACTATATAAATTGGCTAATGTACTCATTACAATATGCGAAATATATACAAAATTATAGTCTTCTATTCTTTCTTTTCTTGACATTCTTCAGCACTGTTTCTGCTACTTTGTCAAGCTTCCCTCTATTGGCATCCTTCGGTGGTCTTCTGCCTCTTTTGCCTTCCTTCCAACGTAAACTTTGACAGAAATCAATCACACTGTAAACACATAATTGACATTTTTTCCCCTCTGGAGTTTGGAAGAATCATCACGATTATTTGGGAGTGTATGTGCCAAAAAATGACTTCGGTAATTCTGTTGCATGAAAGGTTTACCAAAAAGAGACTCACTTGTATTGGAAGATTCATAAAATATATGTGGAAATATATGTTATTGAATAAGGTGGAGGCATAATCAAGGGTATTTTGGCTAGTTAGTGGGTGTACTGAATGGTTTTTATATTTGAAGGGGTATAAGGGAACTTTTCAGTTAACAAAACCCTACCAAAAGTTAACAGGTTGGGGTGTTTGTGTTAATCTAATTATCTTTTCTATGCACTTGTAAATGTTAAAACCTTTGAGGAGGTTACTATAATTAACTCTTCTTAAATAAAAAGAAAGATGAATATGTGGGTAAAAATGTAATTGTAGATGTAAAACAAACTTTTTTATTTTACTAAATTTTTAATATAATTTTATCCATTTGTTGGAGGCTATTGATCAAATAAGTGAGGTTCAAAAATCACTTCCCAATATAATATTACAGTAATATCATTTTAAGCCCCATTAAGAATTTGATGGCCCTTTGTTCTTTGAAATTTTTATCGTGAAACTAGAAAAGGGTATTGTGCATCATATTGCCCATCAAATACTCAAACGAACAAGAATAATGTTATACTTACAATTAAGTCATACAATCAGACAAAAATTCTATAAATTTTTTGTAAAATAACTACTTTGTCTTATGTTTTTAGTCTAAATGTATGCTTAATTGTATGATTTAGTTGTAAGCATAGCATTGTGATTTAGTTGTAAGCATAGCATTATCCAACGAACAAATAGACAAGTCACATGCGAGGAGGGAGCTTTAGTTCGTTCCATATAACGAGAAGCAAAAAAAAATATATATATTTTTCTCTTTAAGTGAAAGACGCATGATAATTAATTGGGTTTATTTATTTACACTTTTGTGAGATTGAGAGGTATTAACACATCCACTTCATTTAAAAAGTATTAAAAACACCCTTTTGTTAGTGATATGTTTAGATTTCATCCACTTTTAAATTTAAAAGTCTATTTTACCCCTTTCATCACTTGCCAACTTAATGCAATTTAAAATAGGATGAAACCTAAACAAATCACTAGCAGCAGGGTGTTTTTAATACTCTTTGAATTAAGCAAATGAGTTTAACACTAATCAATCTCACAAGAATATAAATGAAATAAACCCATAATTAATTGTTCCATTGGTGCAAATAAAATTTCATTGCTTCTTATTATATCACAATTTTTATTTTTATTTTTTTTTTTTAAAGTAAATCTGCAATATAATAAGTTTTTCTCAGTAGAAAAATCACCCTTCACTTCATGAATCACAATATTATGAACTTTATCTTCTATTTATCATATTCATCAACTCTGCGTCTAAGGTTTACAGATCACAGTGAATATCCAATTTGAAGCTCAGTCCTACTCATGGAACAAAAAATATTGAATTTAAATATCCAAATTTTAATTCAACTCCAACTCCATTCATGAAACACTTAACAAACTTGGCTGAAAATGTAAAAATTGATGAACAAAGAAACAAGTCCAAAACATAACACACACATTATATAAGGGTCCAAAAACAAAATCTAGTCGGAAATTTCAGCAATGAATTTATTGATTATGCGCATAAGTTGGTTGGATGGTTGAGAAATAGGATAAATGGTGAAGAAGCCATGTTGCTGTCCTTCAAATTCAACATATTCAATCTTGTTTCCCCATGCTTTGAGTTTCTTTGCATAATCTTCAGCTCGGTCTTTGAGTAAATCACTTCCTCCAACAACTACTAAGATTGGATCAAATTTTACTTCTTCAAGGCTGCGACTGCGTGGCCCAAATGGATTTACCAATGGATGATCCATTGTGTCTCCAATTGGTATAGATAACCTCCAGAACCTGCCCACCATAATTAAACTTAGTTGCTAATTTGCATGAAATGAATATGGAATGTGTGAGAAATCTTCTTTGTTAAAATGATTTCTGATCACTTCCAGGGAAATTCCAGAATTTTTTGTAACATGTGAATGGTTGAGATTCATAACCTTCAACTCCCATATTAAAGCTTATACAAACCTGTCAATAAGGTCCAAATTCAGGAAAGCATCCTTTGGTCCCTCAGCTTCTGATTTACTCCTCACAGTCCCACCAAAAAATGGTGCTAAAAGAACATAACCCTTCACATGAACTGGAGCCAACTCCGGCGAACCAGCCCCCAACTTCACCGCCAAATTATGAGCAATGTTCCCACCAGCAGAGTCACCAGATATAAACACCTTGCTAAAATCAGCGACATCAGTGAGCCAAGTATCGGGCACCTCAGCCACAGCTTGAGCCTGGAGCCATTTCACTGCCGTGCAGCCATCTTCAATAGCAGCCGGGAGCCGGTTCTCCGGAGCCAACCTGTAGTCAGGAGCGATGATCACTGCTTGAAGCTCGGAAGCCAGGCGAAAACAGTAGTTTTGACAGTTGGGCCAAGAGCGTGAGCCAATGCAAAAACCACCACCATGAATGTAAAAGAAGATTGGGAGTTTATTTGTGGAAGTGGGTGAAGCTGCAGGTTTGTAGAGCCTGAGAGAGAGGTCATGTGGAGGGTCGAATTGAACGTCTTTCCATAAAACGGAACCATCATCGTGAACCGGGACGTTGAAGCTTGGTTTAGGGAGGCGGCGGATGGAACCGTCGCTGAAAACGAACAGGACTCCTCGGCATTCTTCAACCTGGTGAGGAGCAGAGTTAGAGTTTGAATCAGACATGGTGATGATGAAATTGAGTGAGGGAGGATTGAAGAAATTGGAGATTAAAAAGAAGAGAAAGGAAAGAAAAACAACAGAGAAAGAGTTAAAAAGGGTGGTTTGGTTGTAATTTTGTGTGTTGGTTGGACGATAAGGACAACAATGATCTCAGGTGATCCTCTATAACGCTCTTCAGTGCAAGCCAGACCGATATTATTGTATCATAAGTTTGTCAACATGGATAAAATGATACTGTTACCATATTAATTATATATGTATAATTCCTTTATTTTATACCAAGAGAGAATACAACTTTTCTTCATTGATTTTAAATAGATGATATAATGTACACCAGCTTTGTAAATGTATACAGGAGAGGGAGAGCCAAGGCTCCATTTGGTATGACTTCTTTGAGAAGAGTTTATGGGAAAAGAGCTTTTATTACAAACGGAAGATATAATTTGAGGTGATGGGAGACCTACCACCCTGTTCTATTTCTAATTTGGTAATTTTTCAATTGTCAAATGGGTTTCACATTACCCAATCTTTTCATACAGAACTTTTTCCTTCGCATGAATCTATCAATTAATACAAATTATGGGGTTGTTAAGTTACTATTTTGCCATAATTTTGATGAAATGAGTACAGTGGTCAAGTGTGACCATACCTTATATAATTGCTAGTATTTTTTAAGAACATTAGGGGGCAAAAAGATTAATGGTCAAAACTTGGAGAATTATTCATTTATGGGTATGTTCTGATTTCTGCAAACTTTTATGGGCTTTGTACAGAAAAATTGGGACCTATTAATTTATTAAACTTTTCAATTGGGTCTCTTAGGTTTTTCAGAAAACTATTGTTGTAATAAAGTTTTGCATCATCAAAAAGACTTTGTGAGAAAAACTCAAATTTTGAGCTTCTTCCAAAAGTCATAAAACCTTTTTTTTTATAACCATATAAGCACTTTTTAAATGCAATCAAACAACCTAAAAATAATTCAATAGTGCTTATAGGATTAAAAAGGGTAAACTACATGTTCCCACCCAAGGTTTGGCCTACTGACACTTTCCCACCCGATAAGTTTCAAAATGACACTTTCCCACCACTACAGTATATATTCATTGTAAAGACCAAAATAACTTTTACTATTTGACTTAATAATATATCAACAGTCAATTACCTATATACCCCCCTTTAAATATAAAATTACTGATATACTCTCCGTTATGAGATTTAAATTACGAATTTATCCCTCTAATTTTTTTATTAAAATAATGTTTCAAATCTTTTAAAAATTTTAAACTTTTAAAATTATCATTTTGTCCCTCTATTTGCTGCAATCTAAACTGACATTTATATGCAAGAAATTTTGTCAATTTAAACCCAATAAAACCAAGTATTAGCATATCTGATTTGGTTAAATAAGAATCCAAATTAAAAAATTACAGTGCATATATATTCAAATCATTTTGTCAATTCAAACCAATAAAAATAGGAAATTCAATACAAAGAAAGCAGAAACATTTCAAGTGATATTCTTATAAGATAGTTTCTCATTCATTTCTTAAAATCTAAAAAGTTTTGCTCTCCCATCCCACTTTCTAGCTCCTTGAAGCTTGCTTTTCATTTGCTTTCTGGATCTTCAAAACCCTCATCACAATCTTTTGTTTTCCACCAAGGAAGCTCTAATTATTCTATCAAATGTTTCCACTAGCAAAGAAAAATCAATTAAATTGCTATTTATCACATTTAAACAGTGGATAGAAAACAATAAAAATTGACAAACCAACAACTGAACTTGCTAAAAATTTGCTCCAATCATATATGCCTATAAGACTCCCAAATCATCAGCAATGACCTAAAATTAATACAAGTGATATTCAACATTAGAAGAAAAGAGAAGTTAAAAGTGAACCTTAGCTAATGACAACACCTAATGCAAATCCTTTCATTTTAATCCTAAACTCTTTCAAGCAAATATCCATATAGTAATTACAGTATTCCACATGCCCAAACAAATGCCTATTGTACACAAAGATATTCAATAATTTCCAAGGAACAGTAACATGGCAATAACTGATAATCCGTGGATTATACAGTTTTCTTTTGTCTTTTTATTCGGATTTCAAGTACTTTGTGGTGCATTTTGACCTGAATTGTTGTTTAATTCTTTACATTCTGTGTTTCAAGTTAAAATGGACAATTTATGCAAATAAGGACAAAATTGGAAGTTTTTGACTCAAAAGTTAGCGAATCTCAGAAGTTAGGAGAGTTCTGAAGCAGGATAAAGCACGATGAGGCTTGTTCCAAAGGGAGAGCATCGAAAATCGAAGAAGCAAGCAGAGTGGCAGTTCTATAATTTCAGAACTCGTCAAATAGCTTCGCCCCGGCGAAGATTTGTCCTTTGCCGCGGCGAAGTACGCCAGACGCTCCAGATCTGTTTCTTTCTTCGCCGTGACGACGGTCATTATTTGCAGTTTTGTTAAATGCACAGTTTCATTTTGTGCGTATTTTTGGGCAAGGTATAAAAGGAAAACTAAGCCTTTTGTCCAAGAGTCTTCGTTTTTAGGTTAAACAGCTTTTACATATTCTTTGGATGAGTGTTTGAGGCGATTTTGGATTGTAACAAGGGTTAAGATTCGATTCTAACTAAGGGATTCATCTTTTGGGGAGATTTCTTATCTTTTATCTCAGTTTCATTATGTTGAACTTGATTATTTCTGTTTTTCGTTTTTGTATTGTTAATCTAGCTATGAACTAACCATTTTTGGGTTAGGGTTTTGATTGTAGTTTGGATTTTAATGGGTTAAGTGTTTGATTGTTTTACTTTCATATGAGAATGCTTTGGTTGTGTGTTTACTCTGAGTTTTAATGGATATTGTGATGAACATGATGAGATTGAGAAATGAGTCATGTTATGCTTCTTGGGTAATCACCATTATAATATTGGATGCTAGAGATACATTCAAGAATTAATGAAATCATTTTAGGATTCTTTTGCTTAATGAGTTCGGAATTGTTAATCTTCAAATTGTTGGGTGCGGAAGGTTAATAAGGATGAATAGGAAAACATAGCCCGAGAGGGTATGTTAACATCTTAGTAAGTTCGATTTACAACCATTGCGTATGAATGTGATTGTAGTGTAATTTTTAGGTTTAACCCATAAAATCCAAAAGAAGTCAAAACCCTACCTATTTTACTTGAATTGATTATCCGTGTTTTAATATTGCCCTCTTAGTTAAATTTTAGTTTAAAATTTATTGTTAAGTTTAATTGCAATTAGCTCCCATCAATCCAAAGAAGTCGTTTGCTTCAACTTGATAACATTAGTAGACTTAGTGCTTAGCTAACTATCCTCGTGGGAACGATACTCTACTCATCATTATATTACTTGTGCGATTAGTATACTTGCTAAATATTGCATGTTGTAGGAAACATGCATCAATAACCTAGAACTGCCACGGGACAATCATCCTCACCATAGTGCATTTCAGATTTCATTTTAAATTGAAACAAACCAAACAAGAAGGTTTTACATTTTGCACCAAAACAACATATGTCCTTACCTCCACTCTCATCCACTATTACAAAGAGAAATAATTTCACACCCAATTTGTATCGAATCCAAGGCCTTAGACCCCACCTCACACAACACCAATGGCTAAGTTTCACAAATTTTAAGAACTAGAAACAAAGAAACTAGTAATATAAATAATAAATAAGTATACACGTGTTACATATAAAAGGAAATGAAAGGCAAAGGCAAAGGCAAATTAGTATGCTTTTTGGGCTGCTATGTTTTTCATAATTTCTAAAAGAGTTTGTCATACTTCTTTAGACCCTTAGGCACTGCCAGCTGTAGCTGGTTAGAGATGCTCACTAACAAACCACCATATATACTCAATAATTGTAAGGAGGGATTATCGATGAATTAATACAAAAACTCTCCAGACTTCTCCTCTTTATTTTCTTTCCTTTCTCTTTCTCTTCGCTTCTTCTTCCCTTCTACTCTCTTTTTCTCTTAATTTCTTAGGATTAGTTTCAGTCATACCAATTTGGTATCAGAGCAAAATGAACCTTGGGCTTCAACTCTACAAATGAGTAAAAACACGAGGAACACTAAGGCTACTTCAACAGAGCAGCCGGCGATGCAACGTCTAGAGGATCAATAAAATTTGTTACAAAACCGATTGGAAGAGGTTAATGACTCTGGGCTCACGGCTGGAGGCGATTCAGTGAGAGAACCTTTGACAGTTCGAAGATATGAGACTAGAGCAATTAGCAATAACAAAGGACCAGTAGAAATTAAATCTCAGTCACTGTATGAGGAGTTGCAATCTGAACAGCAAAGGATGAGGAATGAAACACGAAAGGCATTTGCTGAAAATCAAACGATCCTCACCAACCTCACACAGATGGTCCAAAATTTACATCGAGGTAAGGAATCTAACTCTGGGGTTGAATCATCCAGAGGAATTTTACTAACTCCTACGGGATACGGTGATATTAGTAGCAATGACACAACTCAAACATCTTCTTATTGGAGCAAATTATTGCCCAAAGTAAATCTTCCAATGTTTGAGGGAGATGATCCTAGGACTTGGGTTATTAAATGCAAGAGGTATTTCAATATTTATGAGGTGGGTGACAGTAAGAAGGTTGAATTAGCTTCTCTATTTCTATCTGAAAAAACAGAGATGTGGTTTCAAAATTGGAGCAAGGAAAAATGAGTGATAGAATGGGAGGAATTTGAGAAAGCCCTATATGATAGGTTTGAGGATAATTTGATGGAGGATATAGTTAAGACATTTAACTCTTTATGACAGGAAGGAAGTGTGGAGGAGTTTCAAATCAAATTTGAAGAACTTAAACCTCATATGGAGAGACTGAACCCCAACTTGACTGAGTCCTATTTCCTATCTAGTTTCATTGAGGGCCTCAAAAATGAAATTAAGCCCATGGTGAGGCTGCTAAGGCCCACCAATTTGTACCAAGCCATTGAACATGCCAAGATTAAAGAAATTCTCCTCTAGGA